GGATTTACACATCTTTGGATGAAATTCATCTAATATGAAGTTTGTTATTTTTTAAACAATCATTTGTGTTAAATCACTGAAGTAACAACAAAAGAGTCTGACATAAGTCTTCAGAATTTATTTCCAGCTTCCTAAACATTAGATGACCTTGTATTTAGAGTTTAAGGTCACTGTCATTTTCATTCTGATAAACAAATGATTTCTCAAAGTCTACTGAGCTTACTACTGAGATCAGTGTGATCAAATATCTAGTGATTATACATCTCTATCCTTTGGAAGCTTACAATGAAATGGAATTAGAGCCTGAGTTTGAGAAATGGCATATTGTCAAGTCCACTGCAGTTAGATCCATGCCAGACTCCTTAATGGACAAGGGACTTTGAGCATAACCTCTATGAGCCACTGTTTACTCATCTGTAAAGTGGATAAAATTTCTGCCCAGTAGAGTTATTTTAAGGATCATAGTGACAAGACATTAAAATCTTAATATAATATCCATCATATGTCACACCTTAAGATAATATAACATTATTATATAGCCCATTTGGTCATCACGGCAACCCATTCAGTTATGCAAGAGAGAAATGATTCATTTTACAGAGGAGAAAAAAGATTAAAAGATGTAAAGAAGCTGGTTTAATTCTAAAATTGGACTGATATTTTTCTCTCCTGGCTCCCCAGTGCTTTTTCTCTGATGTAACCTGTAAAAATGGGTTACCATGGGGCCAGCTGATGGCATAATGGTTACTTCACTGGACTCCTACTAGCCAACTGCGGTTCGAGCTTCAGACCCAGAGGCTTAAAACTCAGCAGGCCATGTAAGCATGTGTGCCCAAGATCCTGAGAGGAAAATGAAGGAAAAGGGATTTGGCATGGCCATCCACCCAGGGGGGACGATTTTTCACTTTCTGTCTCCCTGTCTCTCTCTTATGTCTGGCAACTGCATGTGCCCCATAGCAAATATCTATAAAAAAAAAAAGAGGGTTACCATGCAAACTCCGGTTAAAGTTCTCTCATCCCCTCTCCCGCAAAAAAGTTCCCATTATTTTTCTTTTGAACAAGTAAAGTACACTTACCTAAGAAATAATGTTGTATAGCTATCTTTAATATGGGGTGCATAGACCTCAAAGATGTGCAAGGTGATTTCATTGTGAAAAATATATAGAATATCTCATTGTATTTCATCATTCCTAACTAATTTTTACATATAGTCACAATAACATCTTACATATATTCACAATGTTTTAGTATAAGTATATAATTTCTGATTATATTGATTTTCTTATATTAGGGATCTACGTTCAAAATGTTTTTCGGATATGTGTGTGTGTGTTTGTGTGTGTGTGTGTGTTTTAATTTGGAGGACACTGGCATAGAGAACTGTGTTTCAAAGCAACTGAGATAGCCCTAAAATTTTCCTTAATGAAAATTCATAGAGAACTAGTCAGAGATATGTTTTGATACATCGTCAATGACCATATTCTTATGTTCGGGCTGATAAGATATATCACACATTGAAGGAACTATGAGATGTTGCCCAAAGTCTCTCTAATTTTCAAACAGTTTCGGAAAAATGGGTTTTTTAAATCCTTGAAACCCTTGAATCCTTGAAATCACCCTCTAAGTAGGCATTATTATCATCCTCTTGCTGTTTTCTCCCAGTCGAACAAGTCAAAGGTACTTTGTGATGGATTCAAATACAAACAAGTTAATGTTATCCGAAATATTTATGTCTGTAGTTTATTTATTCCATTTCAAAGGATACTTTCTAAGAAAAGATGAGCTGGCTTTTTAGTCGGGTGGTTAAGGCAGTGAAATTATAGCCAACAATGTGATTCTAGTCCTGGCCCCAGTAGCTTAAGAAACACACCAGGTGCATATGTGTTTATGCCCAAAATCCTAAAAGGAGGGAGAGGTGGAGGAAAAGAGATTGCAGCATGACCCTTCCCATGGGGCTTGTTTTATCTCTCTTTTTTTTTCCTCTCTTCTCTCTGGCAAGTGCATGTACTATGTAGAAAAAAAAAAAGGTAAAGACTAGATAAGGAAGTTATTACCTATACTAAACCATGTCCCTCTGTTTTTTGTTTTAGAAGGTTTAAAAAAAATTGGGGGGCTGTACTTCCCAAGAAGAGAAAGACACACACAGTGAGAGGGAAAGTGAGAAATCACACCCCTTCCCAGGCAGGATGGCCATGCTACAATCACTTTTCCATTTCTCTGGATCTTGGGCATGCATGCACACAGGACCAGCGTGATTTTCAAGCCACCAGATCCAGAATTCGAACCGTGTTTGGTCATGTGGGAGTCTAGCTACACCATCTGCTAGTCCCTAAACCATATGTCCCTTAAAGATCGGATATTTGTGTTTTATTTATGTCCTCTAGAGCTGAGTATAATGCTTGGTGTATAGGAGGTACACGAAAAACGTTGCTTGAGTGAATTGATATCTACCGTATCCAAGACATTATACCTCGGGAGCCAAGTAGTATTGCCAGTAGTATTGCCTCTATTTTATAGTTGAGGAAAGTATCTCCAGGAGATGAAATACAAGTTCCATTCTAAAATTCTTGTTATTTCTGCTGCCATACCAATGACATGCCTTCTTTAAACATTAAAAGAAAATTGTTCTGAGAAATAGTTATCATAAATACTCTGAAAAATATTCAATGAGTAACCAAACTTAAATTACAGATTGGAAACTTTCTTTCTCTACTCATTTCCTGGCAAAGTATAACAATGCTGACTAACTTTTGGCGACAAGATTGAATTTACTTCTTTTTTTTTTTTAAGAGGTTTTTGCTATAGGGTGCGTGCGCTTGCCAGACAGAGAGAGACAGAGAGACAGAAAGCGAGAAATCACCCCCCAGGGGGGATGGCCACACCGCAATCCCTTCTCCTCCATTCTCCTCTCGGGATCTTGGGCACGCACGCACACGCGCCTGGCGTGAGTTTTAAGCCACTGGGTCCGGGACGCGAACCGCGGTCGACCACGTGGGAGTCCAGCGACATAGCCATTACGCTAACTGCTGGTCCTAAGATTGAATTTACTTTGAAACATACATGATCAACTGAAAAATATTCCAGTATAACTGACAAATATTACTAATGCATACTTAATGCCCTTGACAGAATACAATACTATGTTTTTACTCTCAAAGAATAAATGATCATAGTATATATGTAAGAATATAAATGTCTATTATGGTTATCTTTATACATATATTTTCCCATAAGTATTAATGAATTCTCAGAAAATGTATCTTATTGGGGAACCAGCAGTTAGTGTAATGGCTATGTCGCTGCACTCCCACGTAGTCGACCACGGTTCGTGTCCCGGACCCAGTGGCTTAAAACTCACGCCGGGCGCGTGTGCGTGCATGCCCAAGATCCCGAGAGGAGAATGGAGGAGAAGGGATTGCGGCGTGACCATCCCCCCTGGGGGGTGATTTCTCGCTTTCTGTCTCTATGTCTCTCTCTGTCTGTCTGGCGAGCGCACGCGCCCTACAGTGAAAATCTCTCCAAAAAAAAAAAAAAATGTATCTTATTATCATCCTTAAGCATATATTCTGGTATTTCTGAAAACACTTAAATTTTTTCTAGTTTCCGTTAACATTAAAATTTCATAAAACTTGAGATTAGCAGATGGTGTAATGGTTCCATCTCTGGACTCCCACTTAGTTGGCCACAGTTCGAGTTCTGGACTTGGTGGTTTAAACTCATGCCAGCCCTAAATCCCAAGAGTAAACTGGAGGAGAAGGGACTGCAGAGTGTTCATGCCCTGCGGGGTGGGGGGCTGAATTTTCATTTTCTGTCTCTGTCTCTCTCTGTATCTCTGGTGAGTACACACACCCTATAGCAAAAAAAAAAAAAGAAAAAAAAAAACTCTCAAAAAAAGAAAAAGAAAAAAAAATTCATAAAATTTGATCTAAGTTAATGATTATTTTTCTTAACAGGAAATTTAATGTTTTTTCTCTCATTAACTTCAAGTTATCCATAATTAGCATTTTAAAGCAATGACTTTAACTAACTCTAGTTTTAACTTTTACATTTTAAAATGTGGAATGGTTTGTGAATTTTCTTAGGGCAAACTCATTTATAAAGCTTACTGCACCTACCTAAATATTAACTTTCAAAGTCACTATGACTACAGTTTAATTTAGGTAATATTATTATATATAATATAAATGGTATCAATTGTATAATTTTCAGAGTTTTTATAGATGTTTACCATTTTTTATGATTTGATCGTTATAAACTTCAAATAACTGAAAATAGGAGCAGTAGGTTTAATTTCAATCATTGTAGTATTTTATCTGAATGGTACACATCATCATTAACACCATTGTCTAGCAGTAAATTGTAGTAAAAATGTAAAAAAAAATTATCTCCTAAGCTAAAATTTTCTGTAATATTTAAATACATTTTTGGAAATCACACTAATGGAGTTTTTTCAATTAGTGGCTTAATATTAGAGCCACATGATATTATATATTGTATATGCATATATGCATATATACACTTAAGTCATATAGTATATTTAAATTATGAAAAATTGAAATAATTTTTCTGAGCTCAAGGAAGAGAAGAGGGTTTAATTTCAACAAAAACAAGGTTTATCTGAATGGTACACATCATCATTAACACCATTGTCTAGCAGTAAATTGTAGTAAAAATGTAAAAAAAATTATCTCCTAAGCTAAAATTTTCTGTAATATTTAAATACATTTTTGGAAATCACACTAATGGAGTTTTTTCAATTAGTGGCTTAATATTAGAGCCACATGATATTATATATTGTATATGCATATATGCATATATACACTTAAGTCATATAGTATATTTAAATTATGAAAAATTGAAATAATTTTTCTGAGCTCAAGGAAGAGAAGAGGGTTTAATTTCAACAAAAACAAGGAAGCATTGTCATATCACATCACTATGAAATCTATTTTATATTAAAGAAGTTGTTTCAGGTTTAATATTGTTATTTACAGACTTACCTGGTATTCTGACCTCTTGACAAATAAAAAACCTTCAAAGTACAGGGGTAGAGCAGTAATCTTTAACCTTTCCTGGAAGATTCTGCGAGGGGCTGGTTTGGGGGGCTTCTTAGCCATCATACCCCTTCGCTGGTGTGTGCTTTGGTTTCAATTACATCCAGTCTCAAACAAAATGAAATCTCCTTTGTGTGAGAGGAAAAGACAACTGTTCAAAGAGGAAGTCCCAACTTGCTTTTTAACCACTAACATTACCACCAACAGGACACACACACACACACACACACACACACACAGATGGAGATTTTTCCCTTTACTTTTTGTGAGGTAAGAAAGAACAGGCATAGATCAATTTTTAGAGGTCAATCTTTGAATAAACTACATGTGTTAGATTTAAAATAGCAAAATAAATAGATTAACATCACATGAGGATGAGGATGAAAGAAACAGGTAAGAATGTGGACTTTAAGACAGACACTAAAGACACATTTGGTTTTTTTTCTACCATTTTTTTAATCACATGGAGAGTGCATGAATTTGCCAGAGAGAGACAGAGAGACAGAGACAGAGGGAGAGGGAGAAAGCATCTCCTTCCCCCACCACTCCCCGTCTCCCCTTTCCCATGGACATGCTCATGTAACAATACCTTCTCCTCCATTTCTCCATTGTGATTTTGGACATTCATACACATGTGCTCACATGTTTTTTGTTTATTTGTTTTTTTAATAATTATTAATTTTATTTATTCATTCATTTATTTTTTTTATTATTTTAATCTGACCAGAGAGAGACAGAGGGTGAGAGTGAGAGAGAGAGGAAGTGAGAAAGCAAGCCACCAGATTCAGGACTCGAACTCTGGTTGGTTATGTGGGAGTATCCAGCGCCTTAACCACATGCCTCCTGCTGGTCCCATACCCACATGTTTTTCAAGGCATTGGATCCTATATTTAAACTGCATGGTCAGCAATGAGGCTGGCCCCATGGCCTAGTGGTTAAGGGAGGCTGGTAACACATGGCTGTCGAAAATCTCAACGGAGGAGAAACAAAAAGTGAGAAAGATTTGAAATTACCACCTAGCCTATACCGTAAGTCTGGACTTGCTTTCTGCTACCCAAAATTTCAAATGATAAAGTCCAACTTAATTATTTAGAGACAAAACCATACTATTTTTAGTGTCACTTTACTAATAATGTGAAGTCAATGATGTAAGTAAACCTCCTGAGTTAATAAATAACCTAATCTGCCTTCTGAGCAGCTGGTAACTGATACAGGGAAGGAATGAAATTCCTTTCAAGGATGAGAACTAGGAAGTGAAAAAAGGAAATGGAAGGAGATAGGAAGCTGGAAATCATTAGTGGTTGGAGTGTGAGAAAAGTAGCCACTGACTTTATGGCCTAAAAGTTTCACAGGAGAGAGAAAAGAATACCTCAAGAAAAATGTTAAGGCAGGAATATTTTTGTGAACTAATTACTTGGTTAATTGTGTCTTCTTTACCTTTTTTTAAAAAAAACAAAAATCATAATTGGGTTGGCTTGTGATAAGGTGCTGGATCCCCCATAGCTGACAGCACCATTCAAGTCCAAGACTTAAGTGGCTTCAGAAACACACTGGGCCTGTGTGCAAAATCCTGAAAGGAGGAAGAAATGGAGGAGAAGGGATTGCAGCGTGACCATTCCCTATGAGGCAGGAGGGGGTGCTTTCTCACTTTCTCTTCCACACTCTCTCACCCCAGTGAGCGTGTGTGCCCTTTAGCAAATAAATAAGTAAATAACCAGTTCATCAGACCCTGTGAATTACTTTGACCTGCATATTTTTAAATAAAATTAATGCTTAATACGCCAAACATCAAATTATATCTCTATTAAAAAAAAAAAAGCAGGGCCAGCAAATGGTGTGGTGTTAAGGGCACTGGACTCCCACATGGTCGACTGTGGTTCACGTTCTGGACCTGGTGGCTTGCTTTCTTACCTTCTGTCTCTCTCTCTCTCCTCTCGCTCAGTCCCTCTCGGGTCAAATTAAAATAAATAAATAAATAAAGCTAAATAAAATAATTCTTAAAAAAAAAAAAAAACAACTACAAAATGCGAAAAATGTTGCTTAAATTGGGACCAGCAGTTGGCACAATGGCTGTGTCGCTGGACTCCCATGTAGCTGACTGTGGTTTGTGACCAGGCGGTGGCACAATGGCTATGTCGCTGGACTCCCATGTAGCTGACTGTGGTTTGTGACCAGCAGTTGGCACACATGCCAGGAGTGTGTGAGTGTGTGCCTAAGAGCCCAAGAGGAGAATGGAGGAGAAAGGATTGTGGCATGACCATCCCCCGGGAGATGATTTCTAGCTTTCCGTCTCTCTGTCTCTCTGGCAAGTGCACATGCTGTCTCTCTGTCTCTCTGGCAAGTGCACATGCCCTGTGGCAAAAAAAAAAAAAACTCTCCAAAAAAACTCTTGCTTAAATATTATTAACCAGTTAGATCTGTCTGCAATGACCAATATTCTGTACCACTGCACCATTATAATAGGAACTCTTCCATAGATATCTCAAGTCTTAGGCAGTGAAAAAGGAATTTGTAAGTAAAAAAATGTATTAGAGAAAGTGTTTGAGTACAGGGAGAGGAACTAATTTACTGCTAATCCAGATATGAGACCTTAAAAAAAGAAAAACACCACTCAACTTCTCTAAGTTCACAGCTCTCTGATGATGAAATGACAAGGGGTGAGTGTGGTCATACTGCAATCCCTAAATGACTTCTCGTCTCAAGAACTGCAGCAAACCTCTAAGTAGTCTCCTATTTTCACTTTTTTTCTTCTATGATTCATTCAAAATGTAACCTCATCAAGCTGACTTCCCTCTTCAGAACACATTGATGGATTCTTACGCTTTTGAGATTCCTTCTTTCATTTTTTTTTTCCTTGAACAGTAAACATTAAGTACAAACAGGGTGCTCAGGCATGGCACACAAGGACCTGAATAATAAGAACCTTTAAAGCTGCCACTCCTCAAAGTACTCTCTGCTCACGTAATTTTGTTTATTTCTAGGTGTTTCGATACCTTAATAATCTTTCCTATTCTCTCAGACCTTTCTAATCACTGTACTCCATGCTTAAATGCCCTCCTAGTCCCTATTTTGTTTATGTGGCAAGTTCTTACTCATCTTTACTTATTTATTATTTTTAAGAGTTTTTGTCTTAGGGTGAGTATGCTTGCAGGGGCAGGAGGGGGGCGGTCAGAGATAGTGAGAGAAAAAGTGAGAAATCACAACCGAGTGGGAATGCCCATGCTGCCTAGCTCAAAGATTTTATGACTCTAATTTGGAGTTAGTAGCCTTCAATGTGCCAGGAGTTTCCTCTTTTCTGATGTATGTGACCTCTGCCTGGCATATGAGTTTTGGTTGCCCTTCTCCTCCAGTCTCCTCCCAGGATCTTGGGCAAGCACGCACATGCGCCCTGTGTGATTTTCAAGCTAGCAGGTTTGGGGCTCAAACCACGCTCAGCCATGTGGGAGTCCAGTAAGGTAACTACCATACATCTGCTGGCCCCTCTTACTCATCTTTCAAAACGCAGGTTGGATCTATCCTTGCTTGTGAAGGTTTCCTGATTTCCTGAAGTCTACCTCATCCCCCAGAGAACAGTTTATTACTCTCACTTTTGCATTCTCATAGCACTTTCGGTATTTCCTTATTACAGTATTTGTCCTGTTGTATTTTAGTTATTGGTTTACATTCTGAATCAATGGGAAAATGAGTATTTCAAAGATGGGACTGTGTTGAAGTAGAGGTTGATAAGTATTTTGTAATAATTACTTATTTAATGACTAACTCTCAGCCCAAAGATTTTATGACTCTAAATTGGAGTTAGTAGCCTTCGATGTACCAGGAGTTTCCTCTTTTCTGATGTATGCGACCTCTGCCTGGCATATGAGTTTTGGTTGCCATATATAAAACAGTCACACAACTCACCTGTTACAGCCATCAGCTGTTTCTGTGTCACAGACGTTTGTTGTAAATCAGGTTATTTGGCAATTATAACTCAATCGCTTTGGATGGAGTAAAAGATTAACTGAGATAAAATGAAAACCTCAGGCCTGCGCAGTGGTCTACTCGTTAAAAGAACCAGATCCCATATAGCTGACTCTGCAGGATGAATCCCTGACTAGCAGCTTGAAAAGCAAGGCAGGCATGTGCATGGGTGCCCCAAATCCTGATGGGTTAGAGAAACGGAGGAGAAGGGACCATAGTGTGACCACACCTCATTAGGGAGTGCTTTCTCCTCTCTCTCTGTCTCTCTGTCTCTCTGGCAAGCACTAACACTTCCAGAAAAAATAAAATTAAAAAGTAAAGCAAACCCCCCCCAAAAGTAATCTCAGTGCTCTTTAGAGTCACCTATTTTATATCATTGAAGTCATTGAATGCACAGAATTTCTTTTACTCTTCTTTTAATTGCCAGAGGAGTGCTCACCAGAGAAATAAGGAGAGGGAGAGAGGGAGTGTGATTATGCTGCGATCCCTTCTCCATTTCTCACCCTGTCAGGATTTAGGCCACCTACACACCCACGCCTAGCATGGTTTTCAAGTCACTGGGGCTGGGATTCAAACCAAAGCTGGCCATGTGGGATCCAGCTCTCCTAACCAGTAGTAGGCTGTGGGGTCTGGCCATGAATGCACATTTAAAAACAATTCAGGCTGTCTAAATTTCATTACTATTCAAGTTTTGGTATTGATTCAATCAAAATCTGAATGGGAGCCTCCAGTTCCCCTCTTGTACCACCGAAATCCTGACTTTCCTTTTTCTTTTAAGGTTTTTGCCATAGGATACATACATTCACCAGAGGGAGACAGAGGGAGAAACAGTGAGAGGGGAAGGGAGAAATCACCTCCTGGGAGGAAGGGTCATGACACAATCCTTTCTCCTCCATTCTGCTCCTGGGATCTTGGGCACACACATACACGTGCCCAGCATGATTTTCCAGCCACCAGTTGCTGGACTTAAACCACAGTGGGCCATGTGGGAGTCCAGCACCTCAACCACTGTGCCACTTGCTGGCCCTTGACCTTTCTTTTATCTAGTATTTGTTGATGACTTACTGACATAAGGATCACAAATTCACTGCAGTAAATTCCAAAGATTTTCAATTGAAATTTATACATTTATATTTACAAACTAAAACTGAAGAATACAACTATAATTTTAACCACTGTGG